TGAGCTGGTACAATTATTAAGAAAAGTAGATATATGTAGTGGATATTGAATTGATAAAGTAAAAAATAAAGTAAAACTGTTTTAAAACCATTCAAATTTTACCAAGTTTAGTATGAGAAAATTTTAGTGGGATGGTATGAAAAGGTAAGAAGCGACAATCATAACGAGACGAAAGGAGTATATAGTTGAAGAACTAAAATTGTCACTTTTATGAAAGTCGAAAGACTAATTAAATACGAAAATTTTCAAAATTGAGTATCAAAAGTGTCCTTCACACAGTAGTCGAATGATCGAAAAATCAAAATCAAAATCGAGTACAAAAAGTGTTCATGACATAATAGTCGGAGTACTAAAACTGACAAAAACTCTCGGGAAAACTATCAAATAATCCCCCGTACTATACCGAAAAAGTTGATTAGGCCCTTATACTTTACAAACACTCAATTAAGTCCTCGAACTATTAAAAAACGTTCAATTAAGCCCTTTCGGTCGGTAAGTAACCGGTTTCTCGGTTAAATGTAACCCGTTTCCCGGCAGCCGCCGTTGCTAGGGTTCGAGCACAGCGTCGCCGTCGTCACCGTTTAACCGGGAAACCGGTTACTTACCGACCAAAAGGACTTAATTGAAAGTTTTTTTATAGTTCGAGGATTTAATTGAGTGTTTGTAAAGTACGAGGGCCTAATCGACTTTTTCGGCATAGTACAGGGGCTTATTTGATAGTTTTCCCAAAACACTCCAATAAAATACATTAGTATACAATATAGTACTTCATAGTATAGATCATTGTCCATATAAAGTCACTTGACTCTTGCACACACAGCTCCCATATAGTAGTAGGATTATTCTTGGTGTACACAAAATGTATACACAAATTGTACATTGCCCGTATACACATGCATTTTGGCACTAATATAAATTTTGTCTCTTTTCGAATGAATTGCATGTACACACAAGAAACTAGAAGGGTTTTGTCTACACTTTTGTGTACAACTCCGGTAGTCCCGTACACTACTTATTTTTCACAGTACTACTAATATTTAGCGTGTTAAATTATTTGCCCACTGGCAAGGAACAAATAGCTTATCTGCCTCAACGGCTCAACCTATTCAACCTCAACGAAGGGCACAAACTGTCTCCATGGCCGATATTTTACTCTACATAAGGGGTGACTACATTTTCTTTTATCAAGAGAAAATTTTGAAAAGAAAATTTATTAATTACTTTGCACTACGAATAAGGATGGATTTAGGGGGAGGGGATGACCGCCCGCAAGTTATAACATACACCCGGGTGTACGTATACACCGGGTATTTTTGTAATTCTAAGCACAATAAAATTGATTTGTCTGAAAGAAGGAATGACATCAATGCATATTGGTGTGTTGCTCATTTCATAAATTATGTATTCTCATTTAATATTTGAGCATACTACAGATTTTCAATGTAGCTTTTTGATGTTCATTTCGTAACTATGTAGTCTCATTTTATATTGGTGTAATACTCATTTTAAAATGTCATATCCATGTTGCAGAGATTCTAGATGACAACGTTAATGCTATGTATATATTAGAATTTGGTGATATTGACCTGAGATATCCATCCAAACCTTGCAGTTTCGCTCTCACATACCAAATGAGCATAACGCTTGAACGAAATGAGCATAGACAAGTGAACATTTGAGCACACTAGCGATTTCAAATGACTTTTTTTTTAATTTTTCAATACTCACTTTGTAAGTTATGTATGCTCATTTGGTACTTGCATTATGCTCATTTCAAAATATCATATATAAAATTCATGTTTCAAAAGTATCACGATGCTCAATATTAGATTTTTAATACTCAACAAAATAAGTGTAATGCTTAGTAAAAGTTCATTATTGCTCATTTGATAGAAACCCTGATTTCCATCTCAATAGAAGAGGTTTGATGCTCAATGAAAATGTCATGATGACGTTCAACTATCAAATCTTTCGATTTTCTTATTAATGCGTATTTTGTAAGTTGTATATGCTCATTTGATCTAGATGTTTACTCATTTGTAAATTGTCATATTAATGCATATTTCAGAAGTATCATATCACATTAAATTCGTATATTGAAATTCATAGGAATTGTTTATACATAAAATTTAATATGTAGTAAGTTTTATAAAACAAAAAAAAAAGTGAATTAAAAATATGAAGCAGAGATGGCGATGCTCATTGTTAGGCTCCTAATGCTCAATAAAATAGGTCAGTTGCTCAATCAAAGTACACTAATGCTCATTTAGCGAAATGCGCAATTTTTCTCTTAAATTACGAAAATGTCACCGCCTCAAAAAATTGAACCTTTTGGTTATGGGTTGTATTCGTTGATGGGCCGCTGTCTTCCTTAATTGGACCGGATGTACGGTGGTGACCGTACACCCGGATGAGGATATAGGTTTCCGATGTCCGCCTCCCTTGAACTTTCAAAATTTTCTGTTATATATGTACATAATATTTTCAGAAAATTAAATGTTCATACTTTAGTTAGATATATGTGTGTATCCCCCCCCCCTAACTTTTACATAGCAGTTTTCAATATAGTCTTACATAATATAATACTTCATAGCAGATTTAAAAGAAGAAACATTTAAAATAATTTATCATTATTTAAACAAATAAAAATAGAACAACTCCCTTGTTTAAGATACATTCATACTTATTATAAGTGTTTGTTAAAATTAAATTACAATTCATTACTTCTTACTTTCTAAGAACAATTTATTAAACAAATAATGCTTTAACTTATTTTAGCATTAATACAAATATAATATGCACCATATATATGAATAGCAATCAAACATTATTCTAAAAATAAATAATCTGATACATCATATGGTAGACAAAAATTGCAATTCAAAAATCAATTCTTTATTCCGATAAGATTCATGTAGTTAAACAAGACATAGTTATTTAAAAAATATTGGCAATTGTGTACTTTTAAAATTCTTTATTTTCAAATAATCTAATAAATTGTTATATATCCTTTTTTATTTTCAAATAATTTTCCTTTGGTTTGCTATGTCGATTTTTTTCCCGAAATAATGCTAATTAAATAAATAATTCCCAAAATACTGCTCATCTAACCGTGGTTAAGGAAAGTCGCCACTTGAAGTGGCGGCTCTTCTCTTACAGTACAAAAGCCGCCACTCCAACTGGCGGCTCTTCTCTTATAGCACATCTTATACATATATAAAACGCAATATGTTTCAAGAATTTGTTTAACTATCTTCCCGATAGAATTTTAAGCTGAAATTTAGTATGAATAAACTAGACTTGATGAGGAACACTCTCAAAAAATTTCATCAACAAATTCCACCAGAAAAGACAATCTGATGGTGTTCTCCGCACAGGGGTCCGGGTCAGGACATCATGACGGGAATGGGACATTTTTATGAAATTTGAGGTGCTTCTGAGTCGATTTTTTTATATGAAATTTGATGATCATGTTCTTCCTAAAGTGTAGGTTATGTTCACTAAATTTCAGATTATGCAATTTTTTAAAAATTTATTTAAATAACTTCCCGATTGAATTTTAATCTGAAATTGGAACATTCTCACCAAATTTCATCAAAAAATTCGACCCGAAAATAGCTCAAATGAAAGAGGCCTAAAATTGCAGCTTTTAGGCCTATGTTACATGAACATTTTCAAAAGGCACGGGACAAAATTTGTGCCAAGATAATTTTATAAGTTATGCAAATAAATTGTTTGGTATGTTATTTCCCGGAAGCAATATTTTATACTTTCTTAATGTTTCATATTTGTTGATAATTTTTCCATAAGTCATCATGTTTTAGCTACATGTGTTATATGTGATATGCATTTCCATTTTTACATTGCTTTGAGCATTTCTATCAATAGTTTGTATGTTGTAGGATTACACATGCTTCTCTGAATTTGAATTTACCGTTGCCTTCCAGACACGAGCTCAATTAAATTGGGGGAAACTGTGATTCTGCAATTGAAACTTAGAGCAATAGTACCGGTTGCTAAAGTTGATGTGGGTGTTGAAACTGTTTCCAATGGCCATAAACTGCTCAAAGAGAGTTCATATTTATTTAGTAAGTTGAAGAGAAAGAACTGTTTATAAGGGCATAATGATGGCAGTGATAGCTCGAATCTAAATTTAGTTCCTTTAATCGGGAAGTTAGTTAAATATTGTTTTGAAAATTGCACAATTATTTAGGCCTAAAATTGTAGTTTTTTCAATGAATAATTTAACTAACTTCTTGATTTAATTTAAATCTAAAATTCGTTGAACATAACCTATACTTTAGAAAGAACATGATCACTAAATGTCATTAAAAAGTTCGACTCGAAAGCACCTCAAATTTCATAAAAATGTCTCATTCCCGTCATGACGTCCTGACCAGGACCCCCGTGCGGACAACACCATCAGATTGTCTTCGCGGTGGAATTTTTTGATGAATTTTTTTTAGAATGTTCCTCATCAAGTCTAGTTTATTCATACCAAATTTCAACTTAAAATTCTATCGGGAAGATAGTTAAACAAATTTTTGAAACATACTGCGTTTTATTTATGTATAAAATGTGCTGTAAGAGAAGAGCCGCCACTCCAAGTGGCGGCTTTTGTAAGAGAAAAGCCGCCACTTCACGTGGCGGCTTTCCTTAACCACAGTTAAATCAACAGTATTTTAGGAATTATTTTTAACCCAACAGTATTTTGAGAATTATCTATTTAATTAACATTATTTCGGGAAAAAGCTCTGCTATTTCTTACACTTTAAAATTGAAATCCTGGATCCGTCCCTAACTATGTATTACGTTCTATTTTGAACAATTTCTTACCAAAAAAAATGGTGTTTTTAAATTTCTAACCTCCTTTAAAAAAGAAATGTTACACCATGGTTATACATCTATAATTGAGAGGGAAACTTTTTTTTTTTTGAGAGTAATTAAGACGGAAACTTGTGCATGGATTATTTATACGTTGGCAGATAGCTAGCTTGGTACTTCGCTTTTTTATTTGTAGTCATACGCGTTCTTCTGAGGAGGAAAAGAAACACAGCGAATAGAACGAAAATGCGTTCTTCTGCGGAGGAGAAGAAAGGCACAGAAACAAACGAAAAGAAGACAGGAAAAGAAAAAAGAATTGAGAGAGAAGGGAGAAATTAAGGACGGAGAGAGATCAGAGATTGGGTCGCTATAACTACCACCGCCGGAGATACCAAATTCCATTCACGAATTGGCGGTCATCGCCGTCCGTCTGTCTGCGGAGTTGGCCGCTAAAATCTCCGCAGGAGATCCTACACACCAGAAGACGGAAACTTGCCGGCGTTGAGGATGCATTTGAAGGAGTTGGAATTGAAAGTTGCAGGATTTTAATCCACAAATGTGATGCCTTCAACCCAATAAAGGTGCTATCTTTATTGCTGCTCTGTTTCTTCCTTTTTCAATTGGGATTTTGCTATGTATATGGTCCTAAAACCCCTCTCTGATTTTCTCATTTCCATCATTCCACCAATTCAATTGCAGGGTTTAGCATTATATGTATATTTCTAGGAGAGAATGTGTAATTATTGTGTTATATATAAATATTTAGGATCCTTAATTTGTTATTCTGGGATTAATGTAGTATGGGGAAGCAAAGGGAACAAAAGAAGAAACCTGGTGGAGGAAAGTCTCATGGTTCAAATAAGCAGCAGCGGAAGAAGAAAACATGCGAGGACAGCCAAAGACCATATGATAAAGACACTATGGCCTTCATATCTCTGTCGCAGGAACTCAAAGAGGAAGGCAACAGGTTGTTCCAGTCGAGGGATTACGAGGAGGCAATGTTTCTCTATGAAAAAGCAATCACCTTTCTACCCAGGAACCACCCAGACGTTTCTTACCTCCACAGTAACATGGCCGCATGTTACATGCAGCTTGGCGAAAGTGAGTACCCCAGAGCCATACACGAATGCAATTTGGCTCTCGAGGTCGACCCCAAGTGCACTAAGGCTCTTCTAAAGAGATCCCGGTGTTACGAGGGTTTGGTTCGGCTCGATTTAGCTCAACGTGACGCTATGCGGGTTCTGCGGATCGAGCCGAATAACTTCATGGCAGCCGAGATCGTCGAGAGAGTCAAAGCAACTATTGATTCGAATGGAGGGGCTGCTGACATTCCAGTGGATCTGATTCCTGTTCCTGAGTATGTAGAACCTCCAGTTGCCCCCACTTTATCAAAGTCATCCAAGGGTAAGGCCAGGAAGAAGAAATGCCTCCTGAAGATAGAGAAGAAGAAAGGGAATGATGGTGATGGAAATGGTAGGAAAAGGAGGAGAAAGAAAGCTAAGAAGAAAGTTAGATATGTGGGAAAGGCTAGAGACAATGAAGATATGGAGGATCAAGAATCTGAAGATATCTTCCTAATTGGAAGTGGAATTAATGCTCAGAAGGCTAAAGAGAGAATAGAAGGAAAGGAATTTAACAATGCATTTCGTCATGATAGTGACTTGAGTGGTGATGATGAGGATGAGTCTCTTCCGGGCAAGAATGTTGAATACAACCGTTTTGAAGTACTAAATGATGATAGCAAGGAAGAGGAGGAAGAAGAAGAAGAAGGAAAACCTGAAATAGGAATATATGATCTCAGTGTGCAAAAGAACAAGAACAAGAGAGTTCCCAGGGGAAAACAAGTTGAGGAAAGAAGGGCAGAAGATAAATTGGTTGTTCGGGAAATAAAGAACTGTAATAACCACATCCGGAAGGGAGAGTCATCAAGTAGAAGAGTGAAACTGATATATGGAGATGACATAAGAATAGCTCATGTTCCAACCGATAGTGACATTTTGGGGCTGAGGGAGATTGTATGCAACCGCTTTCCGAACTGCAAATCCATTCTTATCAAGTACAAGGACGAAGAAGGCGATTTGGTCACTATCACAACGAACGAAGAGCTTCGGTGGGCCGAAACATCATCTTCATCTCAGCATTGTCTCACCAGACTGTTTATCATCGATGTTAATCCAGGCCAAGATCCTCTTCTGGAGGAGAAAATCAAAAGAGAAAAGGCAGAACAAGAGCGTAAACAAAATGAGCAAACAATAACCGACCCCGAAAATGATAGTGACCTATTACAGATTACATCTTCTTGTGTTGATGATTGGATCATTCACTTTGCTTATCTGTTCAAACAACATGCTACTGGGATTAAATCAGGTGACTGTTTTTTGGGTTTGCATGATGTGGGCGTGAAGGCTTACTCTGAGGCTATGGAAGAGACAGTGACCAGTGAAGAAGCTCAAGACATTTTTAGCACGGCTGAAGAAAAGTTCCGGGAAATGGCTTCCCTTGCCCTCTTCTCTTGGGGGAATATTCACATGTCTAAGGCAAGGCGAAGGGTCTTTACAGAATATAGCGCAACGACAGTAAGAGAAGACGACCATGAGTGGGCTCAGAAGGAATACTCCATGGCTGGAAGAAGATTCGAAGAAGCACTAAAGATAAATCCAAGTTTTTATGAATGCATTATCGCTCTTGGACAGCTTCAGTTTGAACAGGCCAAACTTTCTTGGTATCATCATTCAACAACAACAACAACAACCAGTGATGATCTTTTGTCACTGTCGGCTTTATCAGAAGAAGTATTGCAGCTATACAGAAATGCTGGGAAAAACATGGAAAGAGGTATACATATGTGGGAGGAGGCCCTAGTGCAGCATCTCATTGAAGTCACTAACGAAAGTGAGACGGACAGAATCTTAGAGGAAATGAAGTTGGGGAATCTTTTTAAGGTAATATCTGCAGAGGAAACTGCCGAGCTGGCTGCGAATATTAGGTCTCAAGTTAATCTTCTGTGGGGTACAATGCTGTACGAGAGATCAGTGTTGGAGTTCAAATTGGAACTACCTTCTTGGCAAAACTGTTTGGAGGCTGCTGCTGATAAACTTGAACTTGCAGGAGCCTCTCCTGAAGATATTGCAGTCATGATAAAGAACCATTGTTCCAACTCTTTACAAGGTAGCCCGAGAACTATACTCTTATCAGCTTATGCGAATTATATATATATTATGAACATAGCAATATTTAATGTCATCCTGGCATTAACACGACAAAATTTACTGTCATGATATTATTTTTCAATCATGAGAGTTATGTCCCCTATTTCGCGAAGAAAAACATAATAGTCAGTTTTGGAATTCCAAAACCTGTTTGTGGCAATATAATGATATACTCGTATAAAATAAAGAAAATACATAACTATGATACTTAAGTGGTCATATATGCAGTCTCATTACATTCTGTCAATAGTGACAATGGATGTTATCGGAGTGGCTATATAAGTGGTCATGTAGTCGACTTTTCAACTTTTCCACAGGGATGTATTATTGGCAGCACAAACTTAGACGTCCATGATGATATCTAGTCTATCTTTTTTATGAAAAAGTGTACTCCTGTGGAAGAATCTTTACTGCGGAGCAATTGAGTAAAATTATAAAGGAAAGGGTCAATAGGCCCTGGAACTGACTTAAAGTGTTCAATTAGCCCCTTATATAGGAGGTTCTGTCCGGCCATCGTCAATTGGGGTGATTCCCGGTGGAATTTTTTGATGAAATTTTTTGAGCATCTTCTTCATTAAGTCTAGTTTATTCATACCAAATTTAAGCTAAAAATTCAATCGGGAAGATAGTCAAATGATTTTTTGAAGATAACTGCGAAATTAAACAACGCAGTACATTTTGGAAAATCATTTGACTATCTTCCCGAAAGTGTCAAAGTTAATAAGAATAACAAAAATGAAAGTTGACAAAGTTATAAAGGGGGTGAGGAGTATAATAATCCACATATCGGAATTATGATAACATGTATACATTTTACCCAATTTTTCTTTGTATAAAATTAATTGCTACTATATGTTTGTAGGAGTGGACAATGTTGAAGAGACGGAACAAGCATGGAATGAGATGTATGAGGCAATTAGGTGGCAAATGGACATTCCTGCTTTACATTTGGAGTCATTGCTTCAAAAACGAGTTGCCAACACGCATCATGCAGCCCTGGACCCTGCTTGATCGGCCGGCCTCTGACCCGAACCAGCATGAGTCTGAACAGCAGCGCTACGGTCCGGCCCATCCTTCTGCCTTCTGCAGCCTGTTTCAGTATTTGTATATATACTACGTAGTATGTAAGTACTTAACCACACATATAGCGATATGCATTGTTTTCATTACTAAAAGAAAAAAAGATGATGAAGAGTCAGTCTCAAAAGTTTCGATGTACTCCGTAGTATTTTAGTTTTGTTTGCATGAAAGGGCTTGATCTTTCAATTTTGATGTAGTGGACTAGTCGTTCTATATGTCTTTTTTTTTTTTTGGAGAAATTTGAGTTTGGGCACCCCATTTTTTTAAAAATTTTGTTTTTTCACTCCAACCCCGTATGAAAAATTGAAAAGAAAAAAATGCTCTTCGATTAGGAATATGTTGAAGGCCAACTGAATTGTTAATGGAAAGACATTTTTGTCTTTTCATAATGAGTTGGGGTGCAAAAACAAAGTTTTTTCAAAACGGGGTGCAAAATCCAATATTGGACAATAAAATGGGGTGCAAACTCAAATTCCCCTGTTTTTTCTCAAGGCAATATGTCATTTTTTTCACTTGTGGTCAAATTAGTCCATCAGCATACGGCTAGAGAATCAATATTTCTTTATATATGATATCTGTGCAAAAGAATCAAGTTTTGTACTCTTTGAATCAAGTTTTGAAAAAGAAATAGATAATTGGAATGAATTATTATCTATGTTGCATGGAAACACAAAAAAAAACAGGAAATGGAAAACGTCAACTTTTGCTCGAAAAAAGCTTGTTTAGAGAGTTTCCAAAGATTTTCCGTAGAGTTTCCAAAACGGAAACGTACTCTTCCTGAGAGTTTCCGTGCTACATACATTATTATAACTTCGATCATTTTAGTCACATGGTAATGTGATATGATCTCCTTCTAGTCTTGGGCAAAGAGAATCTTTTCCAATGATCCAAGGACGGAATAAAAATGATATGGATGTATATCATATACATACTACAAAGTACTATCTATATGGTTAAGAAATTTGTGCACTCTTCATCCACCTATTATTGTATCCATACTTTTGATGGTTCTTTAAAGTTTTTCAACCTTAGCCTTTGGACTTTTGCAAATATGACATTTTTAGTCTTACAATTACCATTTTGTCAAAATAACCTTGTACCAAAAATGTCACTATGATAACAGTTGAAGATTTAAAAATTGTCACTTTCACAACAGTGATCAGTGGTAGACCTATTATAGGTTCAAAATGTATGGGTGAGACTTTGGAACCAAGAACTGGAAAACCGAACCGGATTGAACCGTTATGACATGGTTTGGTTCCAACATTCACTGGTTATTTGTTAATGGTTCGATTCATATTTCTTATTAGCGATTCGGTTTTCGATTCCTGAAAAAATACGTTTTTGGAACAGTTATATACTAGTATAGAATAATTAAAATATTATATATTACTTATTAGTACATACTCGTATATTTTAATGTATATTTACTTATTTATTTTTATATTAAATTCACTTGATGGAGTATATGGCCCAGGGACTCCCGGCCCACATACTCCTACTTCTCCTGGACAAACCCAATAAGCCCAATAAGCACATAAAGCCCAGATACGGCGGTCCAAGCTTAAAGGAGCCCATGATACACATAGCCTTCGGCACCATGGCCGAAGGCACAAAATTCCAGGAGACAACCGATTTCGGACCCACGAAGCTACTTGGAGATTCTGGCTGAAACAGCAGCCTTCGGCCTAGGGGTGCCTTCAGCACAATTGCCGAGGGGTCCCACTCAGCGAAGATTCCCTCTGAGGACAGGCAACCACCGCATTCAATACGGCATCACATCCAACCACCGCATTTAATGCGCTCCCACATGCAATGTCGGCGCCAGCGTGGCTGGAGTGACCCTCCACCATTGATCACCTGACACGTGTACCCCATATAATGCGCCTAGCATTTATGCCTACTATAAATAGCGTCTCCTTTTCTTCTGTAACACACAACGAGTTCACTTAATACAATTTGACTCTCTCTCTCTCTTACTTATTGCTCCGACTTCTCTCTAGATATCCCTCGTGGTATCCCTGAGATAGGCTACCCTCCGGGTACGCTATCCATCATCACTATTTTGAGATGAATGAACTTTTTTGTTGACTAATTACGTCACTGATTCAAGATTATAAGTATTGATTGTAGTGAATATCTTGTTTTTTTTCATTTACTAAAATTTTCAGTTTGTTATGTACTTATGTTTGAAATGAACTTTTCAGAATTGAAATAATGATAAGAATATTTTTATGTGGCACAAATTTACCAGTAATTTATAAGAATTTTTTAAACACTAAGAACCATAAAATGACAAGAATCGAACCGTTAAGGAATAGTTTGGTTGTATATCGATTCTATAAATAATTTATAAGAATCGAATCGTTATTAAAATTTGATATTTTTAAATAGTTCCATCTATTTTGACTAAGAAGCGGGTCCCCAGCCAATCAAAATGTTCATATAAACACCCAAACTTCTGAAAAAACATGAAAACATGTTTAATTTTAGTGTAACTAATACTTAAGTATGCTTAGGGCCGGATCAAACGTGATCGCGGATCACATAGCAACTCGCTTGACCCACACACAACATTTCACTACTTCCTCATTTCCAAGGTGCACCCTGAACACTAGAAATGGGGGACTTGTGCTGGGGTACTGGATTCAGCAATGGGTAAGCCTGAGACACCCCTTGCGGCCCAATCGGGGCCCGATCGGAACAATGGGCCCGACATCCACACTCGAAACCCGGTCAGTCTCAATCAAGGTAGTTATTGCACACGGCCTGCCTCAGACGGGATGTACCGAATGGGACCCAACACTTAGAGATTTCCCGCTTATAGTGGACGTGCAATTGCATTTAATTCACCTCATATGAGAATTTAAGATTGGGGATTAACCACTCGGGGTCACCACATCGCCCCCCACCTACTATCTTATAGTATAAATATCTAGGGGTGGAAATAGACCAGACGGCCTGTCAGGGGCCTGTGGCCTAGCCTGTTAAAAGCCTGGCCTAACCTGTTTAGTAATCAAACTAGGCTTGGGCTCTTTAAAAAGCCCGTTTATCTAATCTATAAGATAGTCAGCCGATTTTGTGAGCTGATTTTGTTAGTCATTAAAAAATTCCACCGGGAAGGTGCCCAAGCGGGCTCGGCCAGACAATGCAGCCCGTCAGATCGGCCTGACATGAACATTCCTTTATGTATATATATATGTATATATATATATATACATATATATACATACATATATATACATATATATACATATATATATACATATATATATACATATATATATATATATGTTGGGTTAAGGGCCCAAGCCGAGGTCCGGCCCACTAACCCATTTTGCCAGACGAACGTCCAGCTAGAAACCAGGCCAGCCCACAGGCCCGTGTCTCTTGAGGATGGACGAACGTCTGGTGTTGGAGGACTCAGGCCCAGCAGCTCATTCCGACGAACGTCTGTGCAGAGACAAAGAGCAGAACCACGGGCGAGCGGGGATGGCGACGAACGTCCCCGGAGCAAGCCTGTGGTCATCGGGGAAAACCCAGGCGACGAACAGCCGATATCCCTCAAGGGTCACTTGGAGCAATCCAACTCACTTCCGGGGTGGACGAACGTCCCCACTGATCCGGCGGGAAACCTAGATTCTGGCGGGAAGTGCATTTAATGCTAAAGATTTGGTAGTTGGGACACCAGCGGTCCACAGGCTGCCACGTCAGTACAGCCACCTGCCCATTGGCGGGTATAAATAGAAGCATTTATTTCATTGTAAAGGGTTGGCAACTTTCTATTCTTAGCATACTAGCTCCAGCATTCTTACGAGTAGCATTCCTATCGCCTTGTAAGACGAACGGCCGACGTGCCCTTTTTAGCAAGTAGATTGTACTTAGGGGAGTTATTACGAAGTTAATAATACCTATTTACATTGCCTGCTATTACTCTCGTTTCCTGATTCACCTGATAGTTGTCGGGCTAGATAACCACACACTCACTCCACTCGAAATCTTTGGGCTTACGTGTTGGGTCCAAGGGTTGAAGGAATAAACTTCAACACTGGCGCCGTCTGTGGGAAACTGAGCAAAAAGTTTCCAGAAACTCTCCCAAACAGCTACTAAATCTACCCACAGCAAGCACAATGTCAGGAAGCCACAACCAGCGTGATCTCTCCGAACGTCTGGAGTCAAGCCGCCGGAATCGCGGCCAGAACTCGGAACGATCCGCAACAATATGGACCTCCGGGGGAAACGGGGGTATCACCGACCTCATTCCCCTTGAGGCCAGGCAGGATCCCCGCCTCATGCGGGAACTTGCGGACACCATGCGCCGTTTGGCGGACGAACGGGAAGCCCGAGAGCAAGTGTACTCGGCAAGCACCCAGCGAACCCCCCTATCTCCCGTTCGCCGCATGCAGTCGTATGATGAAACGATGGGGTCCAGCGATCATCGACCCTCGGTCCACGAGCGGCTAGGCGAGGGTTCCGGCTCCCAGGGAACGGGAGGACGAACCAGGGCCAGCATTGCCGCGTCCAGGGCTCACACGCCATCGGCCCCCCGCCAGATCCCGCGGGGGGACGAGACCCCAAGGATCAATACCGTTGGGCGACGTTTCCAACGGCGAGGGACGCAGATCTTTAGGCGGCCGCGCGATGCTGTGGCCGCTCAGCAAAGCGCCGTCCCCGAAGCCGCGCCCCCTGTGTCCCCCGGAAGGGCCGCACAGGACGCACGGCTGGAAGCCATGGAGAGGCAGATAGCCGAGATGAATAGGCGGGCGGACGTCGGCTCGGCCACACCCTCCTTCTCTCTCACATCACCTTTTACTCCACGGGTGATGAGCGTCGAGATTCCCCGGGATTGCAGGCCCCCGGGCAACTTGGTGTACAACGGGGCTGGCGATCCCAAGGCCCATCTGATAAGCTACCAAGGGAACCTGTCCATGCTGGGAGCATCAGACGAGGCCATCTGCAGATTGTTCTTCAGCACCCTCAGGGGGCCGGCGCAAGAATGGTTCGGCCAGCTGAGGCCAGGCACCATCGACTCATATGAACAGCTCTCCCAGCAGTTCATGGCACAGTTTGCTGCCAGCACCACCCCCAGGAAGGACGTCACGGCTCTCGCCCACATCAAACAAGGGCGGGACGAACCGCTGGCTAGGTTCCTGGTAAGGTGGAGGGACGAGGTCCTGCAGGTC